CCCCCATCCAGCATTCATATGAATTTCTCCGCCCTTTGATGACTGGAGAATCTGCAGAAAGTTTACGACCTTCCCAATTGAAATTGCCCTCCCTCCCGCTTGGTCACCCCGGCAATGGCCTTGGTGCCCATCACATAGCGGCCGCCTGCCTCGAACGTAGGAAATGCTAGCTACTTCGTTCCTGCCGGCAGGAAATGCTAGCTACTTCGTTCCTGCAGAGGCTGCTGTTGTGCCATGATAGCAGGAACGCAAATCCGAGCTGCACCCCCCCCCCCCCCCCCCCCNCCCCCCCCCCCAAGCTTCGATAGTAGCCTTCGCAGGGGGTTTTCTTTTAAGTAAACATGTTGGATGCAGCATGCAAACGGGGGAGTAGGGTTAGGGAATAGGGATAGGGTCTGCGTACCCCCTTCCTGTTCTATTTCCTCGTCAAGTATTTTTCTCGCGAGGGCGGTCCAGCTTATGACAAGCTTTGACAACGTGCGGGTGCCTTTGTTCTTGCGCAGGCGGCTGCGAGTACGGAGGTTGCAGCCAGGCCACCAGCGGCGGGCGAAGGTTTTGCCGACGGCACGGAGAGGGACGCCGCTGCAAGACGCCGGGCTGTATGAAGGTATGGTACTTGCCACAACATGTGTGGCACGAGCTTTGGCGCGTGAAACGACAAGTGCACGTGTCATAATTCAGACACCGCCGTCGCACAGCATGCGGCTTTGAGAATGGACCGTACGGCGGCATGATGTCATGCCGTTCCGCCCGAGACTCCAGGAAACGAACGAGACTCCAGGAAACGAACGAAACCTTGTACCTGCACCAATTGTCAGCCCAGCCTTGTGCCGTTTGTCAAGTCGCGAAGCCGACACATGTGGGCGCGGCACCCGGAAGGTTTCTCCAGCTATCGTCTCTACCCCTGCGGCGCTTCTATTCTATCTTTCGCGGTGGTTTACTCTGCGCTCTCCGGAGGGTGTTTGCATGTTACACTCCCCAGCTTTTGGCTGTAGGTCAACGTCGTGCGAGCCGTTCCATGTGATGCAATCATTTGGATAGTCCCGCGTACTCTTACCTCTTACAGTCTGCCTGAAACCCTCGTTCTTGCGGACCCTGTTTAGGTGGACGTGGGAGGGGGTAACTGCCGCAAGCACGGAGGGGGGAAGCGCTGTGGAGCTGATGGCTGTATGAAAACGGACGTGGGGGGTGAGTGATCCGGGATGGTCGCAACGTTTGTTAGCACCCACGTCGTTTGTCGCGTGTGGGATCAAGGCCAAGGTGTGACGTTTCCCCCACAATATTGACCATGATGATGCGAATAGTCCGAGTATCGGATGCTCGGACTACTTTGACAGGTCGGGTCGTGTCCTATCACGCGGTCCTGACCTGTCGCGCGGACTAGAAAAGAAACAAAACCACCCGGTCAGGTCAGGTCGGTGGTGACTCTATCCTGAACTGTTCCTGGCTTAGCTGATCGATGAAGGGCACTTCTCGCTGCCGCGTTTAGAAATAAAGCACGGACGCCCGTCGTTTCGAACCTGCGTGCTGCCTCGTTGTCGTTGTTTCACGGCAAATCGAAGAATGGTATGGCAGTTTCGTCTGTAACGCACACAGTTTTTCTTGCTCTGCTCTGCGGTGTGTTGTAGGCGGGTTCTGCGTGAGCCATGGGGGGGGGAAGCGCTGCCAAGCGCAAGGGTGCCCGAAGGGCGCTCAGGCGGGAGGCGTGTTTTGCAAGTCCCATGGCGGGGGAAGGCGATGCCGGATCGAAGGATGCATGACAAGGTGAGCAACACACGGGCGTGCGCTCTCAAGAGCCGGGAGTGGAACTGGTGACTGATTGTTGCCTTTCGATTGCTCGTGTTGGCCTTGTCCAGCGGAGTTCCAGCTTTTTGTGAAACGTCCGTGTGTGTGTACACCAGCCGTGGCGAAGTGGATTGATTTCATGATTGGCGCGGCGACGAGTAACGGTTGGGGGGCGGGGGAGCGGCACGTCCGGATCACAATTTTCACTTCCCTCCCCCCTCCCCCCCCAAAATGTGGAGGATGTTGAAAAAGATGACAGAATGCACAAGAAGTGCAGTGATGTTGGATGGGGAAATCTCGAAGTACGTGGATATACTCCAAGGAGTCGCACAGGCCTGTACGATGTCACCCACTTTTTTCAAGATTTACATCAACGACTTGATGAGGGCGGTTGAAGCAGTAAGACAGGGAGTCCAAGTAGGGGGGAAGAGTAAGTCCGGACTGATGTTTGCAGATGATTTCGTGGGGGTATCCGAAACACCAGAAGGGTTGCAGGAACAAATA